GTCAGTACTGAGATCAACACTGGTGTCAGTACTGAGATCATTACTGGTGTCAGTACTGGGAACAATATTGGTGTCAGTACTGAGATCAATATTGGTGTCAGTACTGAGATCAATACTGGTGTCAGTACTGGGAACAATATTGGTGTCAGTACTGAGATCAATATTGGTGTCAGTACTGAGATCAATGCTGGTGTCAGTACTGAGATCAATACTGGTGTCAGTACTGAGATCCATACTGGTGTCAGTACTGAGATCCATACTGGTGTCAGTACTGAGATCAATACTGGTGTCAGTACTGAGATCAATACTGGTGTCAGTACTGAGATCAATACTGGTGTCAGTACTGAGATCAATACTGGTGTCAGTACTGAGATCAATACTGGTGTCAGTACTGAGATCAATACTGGTGTCAGTACTGATGTAGACAGCCTGTACTGTCTGCACAGACAGCCCATGCTGTCTGCCAGCTTAGTTCATATTTCGCGCCACTCAGGTGCTGCCCTCTGTAGCCAGGCCTCGCGGTAGGCACGCCAGCCTGCCGGCCCATGCCTCCGTCTCACTCACACAGCGGCCTAGCAGGAAGACGCAAGTACTCCCAGCTCTCTCTCGTGGGCATGGCCCTGCCCAGGCCATGGGCACATCACACAAGCCTGTTTACCTGGAGTTTACCTGGAGAGAGTTCCGGGGGTCAACGCCCCCGCGGCCCGGTCTGAGACCAGGCCTCCTGGTGGATCAGAGCCTGATCAACCAGGCTGTTGCTGCTGGCTGCACGCAAACCAACATACGAGCCACAGCCCGGCTGATCCGGAACTGACTTTAGGTGCTTGTCCAGTGCCAGCTTGAAGACTGCCAGGGGTCTGTTGGTAATCCCCCTTATGTGTGCTGGGAGGCAGTTGAACAGTCTCGGGCCCCTGACACTTATTGTATGGTCTCTTAACGTGCTAGTGACACCCCTGCTTTTCATTGGGGGGATGGTGCATCGTCTGCCAAGTCTTTTGCTTTCGTAGTGGGTGATTTTCGTGTGCAAGTTCGGTACTAGTCCCTCTAGGATTTTCCAGGTGTATATAATCATGTATCTCTCCCTCCTGCGTTCCAGGGAATACAGGTTTAGGAACCTCAAGCGCTCCCAATAATTGAAGTGTTTTATCTCCGTTATGCGGGCCGTGAAAGTTCTCTGTACATTTTCTAGGTCGGCAATTTCACCTGCCTTGAAAGGTGCTGTTAGTGTGCAGCAATATTCCAGCCTAGATAGAACAAGTGACCTGAAGAGTGTCATCATGGGCTTGGCCTCCCTAGTTTTGAAGGTTCTCATTATCCATCCTGTCATTTTTCTAGCAGATGCGATTGATACAATGTTATGGTCCTTGAAGGTGAGATCCTCCGACATGATCACTCCCAGGTCTTTGACGTTGGTGTTTCGCTCTATTTTGTGGCCAGAATTTGTATTGTACTCTGATGAAGATTTAATTTCCTCATGTTTACCATATCTGAGTAATTGAAATTTCTCAGCCTGTGTACCCACTATGACATTATTAATAAAGTAAGAAGCCTCCGAAGACGTATCATTAACTACCCGCTTGCAGCACCTACCAAATAATCTTTTCCGTTATATTGGTACCAGCGGTGGTCGCAGCAGTGTGTTTGCCCAAAGCGAGGAAGGAAGAGGGATGAAGTCATCTTCACTTCATCATCCCATGCAAGAAGCATCCGTCTCTCAACAAGTTATCCTGATGTCGTGTCTGCACGTTTGAGCATCCAGACACAGGTACAAGCAGGATCCAGGCCGAAATTTGCCGAAATTCTCCGAAAATTGTAAGTGGCGTCACAGTGACCCCACGCTACAGTGACTCCACGCTACAATGTTCCACGCTGTTTCTCAAGTCACGTGTTCAGCGTCACTTGTATGTTGTTGCTGTTGTTGTTCAGCTCAGCACAGCTGTTTCAGCAACCCAGAGGTGAGTCTTGTGGTGATTCCTGCATCCAGTGTGTTTCCCTGTGTTTGTGGGTGGGAGGAGGAGAGACCGCCAGATGCTCCCTCGTCATACACTCACCCACTCTCCTCCCCACCACACTACCATACACTCACCACTGCCCACTCCCTCTGCTGTGTTTTCTGCTGTTTTTCATGTGAATTCATTGCCAGAGCTGTGTATCCGAGTGCCCGAGTCCACTCGAAGCTACATGGACCAGCATGCCACGTAGATCACGACACCACGTGGATCACGACGCCACGTGGGTGTGGGCGATGTCACGTAGACCTACGAGCTACGTGAGTTACCAGATGTCCCAAGGCCACATGCTGTGGTCTGCTGCCCGCATCACATTGACGTCACCCACGATGCTGCCCGACTTCATGACGTCACCTCGAGATGTCTGCTGACGTCAGTGCTGCTGACGTCATCACGCCTGACATCACATGATGTCACCATCGAGTGTTCAGTAATTGTTTCAGTATTGTCGAGAAGATTGAGAGAAGATATATGTCGTGTGTTAATAAATTCCTCTCAGTCAGTGTTCCCACATTTTAGTATGTCTTAGTCAGTTTTATGCACAGAAAAGTATCATTTGCTAGTTTAAGCCATGTTGTACCGCGGTGTGTTTTTAAAGTTTCCGTGTGTCCAGTGAGGTCTGAGCCAGACCTCAGTAGCACCACTGTGCTAAGTCACCCGTGTGACCAGTACGTTTGACAGCTGATGTCAAGACAGCTCCGAGTGACCGAGCCCTCTTGTACAGAAAGCTTTTATGCTCGTCGCTCGTGTTGTTCTGCAGAATTGTACCTGCTACGATTCCCATCGAGATTTGTTTCACTTCACCTCCAGACCGTCAGAGTGCAGTTATATGTAGAGAAACAAGTCTGGGGACGCTTAGACTAACCTCTGCTATAACTCCAATTGCCGATTGATACTCGCCAAGCCACATTTAGCCCTGTCAGCAGGCGCTGTGTCAGCCTCGTGTCACAAGCTTCAGTGAGCAGCCTGCACAAAGAAGATGCCACTTTGACTGCTAGCTCTCTCACTGCAGTCTGGTGTATGATGTTACGACTCCCAGATGTTTCGCCCAGTCGTCTCTGCCACGACTCACTCCACAACTCGCTCCACGCTCGCCGGCAGTGACAGCCCAGTGACAGTACCAGTCGAGAAGTGTCCTCCTGAGTTACTTGCCAGAAGTCCTGCCCAGTTGCTGAGTTTTGTCGACACCTCACTCGAGGGCACCAGCATGTCGTGCCCCAGGTTGAGTGAAACCTGCAGCGACTCCTACGATGACTGCTTCACTGTTCCAGAGGAGACCGTAACCTGTTACGTCACAGCTCAGCTGCAGCGATGTCTCCTGTGTTGCAGTATCTGTCCAGGCGCAGGAAGGCGTGCAGTGATGCCCTTCGATGCTCACTGCCTTTGACCACGATGTTTAGCACACCCACATGTTTTTTTCTTCCCTCCCTGTAGGAAGTTTTTTTTTCCATGTTCATATGTATATATATGCTTTTATTTTGTGTTCTGTGCCCCGTTACTACGAGAGAGAGACCGAGTTTATTTTACTACCAGTATTGTCGTGTCGGGACAGACGCGCGGTAGGTGGCCGAGCGTATGTAGATAGCCTGTACTGTCTGCACAGACAGCCCATGCTGTCTGCCAGCTTAGTTCATATTTCGCACCACTCAGGTGCTGCCCTCTGTAGCCAGGCCTCGTGGTAGGCACGCCAGCCTGCCGGCCCATGCCTCCGTCTCACTCACACAGCGGCCTAGCAGGAAGACACAAGTACTCCCAGCTCTCTCTCGTGGGCATGGCCCTGCCCAGGCCATGGGCACAACACACAAGCCTGTGTACCCACTACGACATTATTAATAAAGTAAGAAGCCTCCGAAGACGTATCATTAACTCCCCGCTACCAGAATACCAAATAATCTTTTTTGTTATACTGAGATCAATACTGGTGTCAGTACTGAGATCAATACTGGTGTCAGTACTGAGATCAGTACTGGTGTCAGTACTGAGATCAGTACTGGTGTCAGTACTGAGATCAGTACTGGTGTCAGTACTGAGATCAATACTGGTGTCAGTACTGAGATCAATACTGGTGTCAGTACTGAGATCAGTACTGGTGTCAGTACTGAGATCAATACTGGTGTCAGTACTGAGATCAGTACTGGTGTCAGTACTGAGATCAATACTGGTGTCAGTACTGAGATCAATACTGGTGTCAGTACTGAGATCAATACTGGTGTCAGTACTGAGATCAATACAGATGTCAGTACTGGGAACAATATTGGTGTCAGTACTGAGATCAATACTGGTGTCAGTACTAAAATCAATACTGCTGTCAGTACTGAGATCAATACTAGTGTCAGTACTGAGATCAATACTGGTGTCGGTACTGAGATCAATACTGGTGTCAGTACTGAGATCAATACTGGTATCAGTACTGAGATCAATACTGGTGTCAGTACTGAGATCAATACTGGTGTCAGTACTGGGAACAATATTGGTGTCATTACTGAGATCAATACTGGTGTCAGTACTGAGATTAATACTGGTGTCAGTACCGAGATCAATACTGATGTCAGTACTGAGATCAACACTAGTGTCAGTACTGAGATCAGTACTGGTGTCAGTACTGAGATCAATACTGGTGTCAGTACTGAGATCAATACTGGTGTCGGTACTGAGATCAATACTGGTGTCAGTACTGAGATCAATACTGGTGTCAGTACTGAGATCAACACTGGTGTCAGGTACTGGGAACACTGGTGTCAATACTGGGATTAACACTGGTGTCACGTACTGGGAACACTGGTGTCAGTACTGGGATCAACACTGGTGTCACGTACTGGGAACAACACTGGTGTCAATACTGGGATCAACACTGGTGTCAGGTACTGGAAACAGTCAACTCACCTGAGGAAATGAACGTTGGTTCAGATATAGATCCAGTACACCCAGTACTCAGAATAAATTATCCTAAACGTTAATTGATGCAAAGATTAAATTGCTGCAGGTACTTACCAGGCCGTGGCAGGCGGAGATGGCGACCCTGGAGGAAGTGTGGTTCCTGACGAAGCCGTGGTAGTGGCAGGAAGGTAGTCTTCCCACCACCTCCACCTCAGAGCCTCCCTGCAGGAGAGAACCTTTACGAAGTCGCTCAACTACCGCATGTGGGGCCAGGAACCTCTTGTTGGGTCGCAGCGTCACCTGGAGGCCCATACAGAGAAACAGGTGTCATGTCTAACTTCCTTCGTTATATACACGGTATTTCTCTACCCGGGCTAAGCTCTCACGCTACTTCTACTACTACTACCACCACTACTACCACTACTACTACTAATACTACTACTACTACTGCTGTTACTATTACTACTACTGCCGCTGCTGTTACTACTACCACTACTGCAGGTGCTGCTATTACTACTACTACTGCTGCTATTACTAGGTCTACTAATAATAGTAGTAATAGCCGTGCTGCTATTAATACGTCTACTACTAATAGTACTACTACTGCTTCTGCTACTACTATTACTATAATAATAATAATAATTATAACAATAGTAATAATAATACAACCAGTAATGGTAGACACTGGAAAACATTAGTAGGCACATACGTGATGGTCGTGGCCATCCAGAGGAATAACATAGTGTAGCTCAAGCTCCTGGACGTGTCTCTTGTCCCTGGTGTGGTGGTTGTGGTTGTGGTGGTGGTGGTGGTGCGGGAGGTGGTGAGTAAGAAAGGTACCATCACTCATCACTCTCCTGGGCGTCACCACCTCATAAGACGCCAACGTCTTCACATACTCAACTGCAAGAAGAAAACATCATCTATCACCCTCTTATCATCCAACATCCGCCTGGCTAAGATTTTGTCTATTTGCTGATATATCTATACATACCAGAGTGTGTATTTCTCAGTTTGTTAGTTCTGTCTAGTTGCCTAGTACATAAACCCGAACATGAGCAAGCAGGCAGAATATCTCATTTTATCCTCGTAACATTAAGAGTACCTTCACACGTAAAAAAGTTCATGTTCAGCCAGGCTGTGGTGCCTACCTGTAGCACATGCTCTATTAGGAATCAATAACCAAATGTTATGGGTCGCATCCTGGGAGACTGGGGATTAGGTCCTTGACGTTATATACATTATTCTTACATAGGGTTTAGCCTTGAGATGAGATGAGGCAGGATGACAGCTTTTAGGTTGTAAATTCATAGGTTTAAAGATAAAAAAAAATGTACGTGATGCTGAGTAACACAATTGTAAACAATGAGTTTATTTCTCCACTAGCCAACTAACAATTCTCACGTCATGTATCATGGTGTTCACTAGTTATTGTCTTCACCTGCGTCAGCGGCATTACTCTACACATATGGTATACATCGTCTTAATAACGCTGTAAACAAAGGCGCATGCTCCTCTGCACTCCAGTTAAATATTTACACTGTTTCGTCTTCACGATGTAGCTAGTGATGTATAACCAAATCTGTAGAGTTCCTGCGCCCCATGAACTGTATAATCCCATATACTACTTCTAGAAGCCGTATAAACCCATATATCTCAACAACAACCTTAGATACTTTGACCCCCATGGTCCATCAGTCCTGGTCGGCCTTGCTGGTATATGGACGCCTTTCTCTTGGATGATTATCGGAGACAAATTTTCCTCATTCTCCCTGAGATACTTGTCCTCATCTTATTCAGACTTCTGGGCACATCGAAGACTGAAGGTGATTTAATAGTTTTGTTATGCGTCCCATACACATCTTGTGGGCGGTGAAATCTTAGCAACTTTCATTAGGTCCATTTTTTTCACTCTGTTGATGTTCTATGGATTGATATAGTTCCTGGAGAGCGAAACGTTGCCACAATAAAATGTCACATTAGTTGCATTTGTGTACTTTTACTTAACATGGAAAGCAGCACACTAACTCAGGTGTGGTGTAGGTGTACACTCCGCTGGGGTTTTGGGCAAGGAAGTCCAGTGGTCCACCTGACCTAACTGAGAACCTCTTGTTACTCTTTTTATTTTAAAAGTGAACTTTCCTTTTCTTCCATCTCTCCCCTGAACACACAATATGGCATAAGCTGCCAGTGACGCTGTAAGCCACCAACAAGGAGGCCTCAATTCCTTGATACTTTCTTACAACACTGTAGAGGCAGTGTTGAGCATAGACTACTAACATGACTTTGAGAACGTAGAGGATATGAGTGATGACTATTTGTTTTAAATAAACTTCATTACACCTACAGTTTGCACCGATCTTATTTACACGACTGTTGGACTCTGTAAACTCCTGCAATATACAGCTACAGTTATACACTGTGTGAACACCTACAGTGTACAGCTGCTCTGTTATATATGGTAGTGACACTGTGTAAGCTGCCGAGGATATTGAAAGAGAATAAGAAATTAATATATGTTCTCACAGTATCAAAGCTTTTTCTTCGGGTGTCTGCAGATTACATGTGGACCAAAACTAGACGATAGAAAGAAGAGGCAAACAGAAATATCGAATGAAAAGAGGAACGGGAACACTCAGTTCCCAAATAGGTCACGTAGATTCTCTTGCTTCAACTCCGGTAGAGCTGGACTCCTGCACCCTCTGAGTCAGTAACCGGCTTCACTCTAAAACCATAGAACATTCGCAGACTAGAAAAACGGAGGTGATGAACGGTATCTCGGATCTTTGATGTGCCCAGCGGGAAGAATAAGAGGACAGGTGCCTCGGGGAGACGGGAAAAATTGTCACCAATGCTCAGAGCAGAGCGAGCGAAACGTCCACACGCCACCATGGCTAGCGCTGAGGTCAAAAATAATATATATATATATATATATATATATATATATATATATATATATATATATATAT